ATCAGACATAAAACAGCATCAAAACTGTGTAACGCGTTATGGAATGAAATGTCGACCCATGAAGATCAAGGGTTTTGATCGACTCAATCTACGTTTGGATTTTCATTCTGAATCCAATTCTTCTCAGCTTTTTTGTTCAAAATGTTGTTTATTTCTTAATTTGTTTTATTTATGAAACGTACCCACATTTAAGTGTTTATAAAAAAAAGAATGCATGACGCTAGAATAAAATGTTTTTGTTTACAAGCAGATACCCTATTCTTTCTTTTGATGTTTTGTATGTTCAGATATTTATAAAGTAAAATATATACAAATGAATACCTAAATAGGGACATAGTACTGTAGAATACTTGAAGTATGATGTAAAGTTCACTTAAAGAAAACTTAAGAGTATACTTGCAGTATAAAACTACTAAACTAGTAGTTTACTGAGACTATACTTCAAAGTGTACTAAAAATGCTACAATTATTTAATTAGTAAACTATCAGTATACCTATAAGTTCACTTTTAGAATAGTTGCATTATAAACTAAAAACAGATATGTAAACTAGTTGTGTACTCAAAGTTTACAACTGTTATACTTAAAGCAGCAACTAGACAGTTCTCTGAGTGGATGGGGTCATTGGGAAACGGGACAGTGGTTATTAATTAAACTATCTATCTGTTTCTCTTCATGAGAACTAGCAGTTCCCTCCCTCTCACATCAGCTCCAATCTTTGGCTGACAGGCCAACAAATGCAGCATTACCTCCTTAGGCGCGAGAGATATCAGTTCAGCACACCCTTCTTCCCAACGCATATCCCACAGATGCACACACACGTACGCTAATACTCATGTAAACATAATTATTACTCAATGATGCTAGTCTCTCGTGTAATTTAAAGCATTTGGACAGAAATACACCAGCTCTGTTGTAGTTCATCACTGAAAACTTTGATATCCGATACTTGTCTTTGAATTATGAGCTTGATCTTTGTTAGTTTATTTCAAGAATTACGCATTGCCTTTTGGTTACATTACATATTGTGGAATATTAGTGTGCTTAATGTGGAGCTGAAGAGAACAGTAGCCTATTGCCCAATAACCAATTACTGCAGCTTGGCTCATGTTGTTATAAACGGGGATGATGACACATTCTGCAACACATGGCAGGCTGACATTAGTGGCAGTTTATAGAATTAATCTTTAAATGATCTGTTGCATAGAGTGCTACTTAAAGACGCTCCCAAAATATACCATGAAATGCATTTAAAAGATATGATTGTGTCATTTGTGTACCTAACTTTGAGATTGTATGAGTATGCCAGTCATTTTAGATCAAGGGTTTTCAATTTTTATTCAATAAAGGATTTTTATTAATACTTCATAATTGTTATATTAATATATTAATATTTATCAAATTTAATAACAAAACTGTTGCATAATCCTTATTATGCTTGTTCATTCTAATAAAAAAAAAAATTTTTTGGGGGGGGGGATAGAACTGGCAATTGTAAAATGTTTTGCACTTTTTGTACTATGTTGGATCCTCTAAATAAATAAATAAATATTGTTTAACAAAAATACATTTAATTTTATTTATTTTTCATTCACTGAAATAAAACTTAAATAAAACGAAATATAAATATTTAGATGAAAAACCTAAAGAAAATTATTTAATTATAGAAATGCTGCCTTGGTGACTAACTGAATTTTTTTTATTACTATTTGGAAATAATAAAAAAGTGAACTAAAACATAAACTAAAACTGACGTAACAACCTAAATAGTATAGTAGTAAAAATGACTAACAATTTTATGAAATTTTTTTTTGAAAAAATGACTAACAACTAAATTTAAACTGAAATATATAAAAATAAAAGCTAATATATTAGCTTCAATATATTAAAAAACTATAATAGTAACTGATACTAATAATAACAACTCTGGTAGGGAGAGCACACTCCTTAATTCATTACATTTTTTTTTTCTACTTGAATGCAAATTATTAGTAACGGACTTTAAAAATGTAATGAAATTGAACATTGCATGTTTTATTTCTTTGTTTACGGAACCCCTGCCATTTCTTTCTATAAAACACTTCAGTAGCCTAGTGTTGAAGAAATTAATTCAATACACTATAAAAATGTTTTTGCAAAGTTAAAGATTACTGGGGTACGGTTTACAAGTAAATACTATTTCAGATTTCTGCTTCAGATTTTCATGTTCAATTCAATGTTGCTTGCTGTTTCTTTGTAATTATTTGTGAAATTTTACTTGCAATTTCTGAGTGAAAATTGTTTCAAACTAAATCCTACACCAGGTGTGCCCAACCCTGCTCCTGGCGATCAACTGTCCTGCAAAGTTTAGCTCCAACTCTAATCAAAGACACCTGCCTTTAATTTTTAAGTGATCCTGAAGACCCTAATTAGTTGCATCAGGTGTGTTTGATTAGGGTTGGAGCTGAACTTTGCAGGACAGTCGATCGCCAGGAGCAGGGTTGGGCACCCCTGTCCTACACCATTTTTTTTCCAGTGTACAAATGCATAGATGATATAATGTATTCTCTATGCATGCCATGACATTTACATGAGTCCCACCCCACTTGTGAGATGGAGTTTGACCAAAACGTGATGAAGACCAGCGTCTCGCTATTATTGCAGATGTATCTAAAAACAAGCTCTTAATCATTTACTGGCTGTTGCTCCATCCACAAAGGGCTCTTCTGAGTCAACATACAGCACTCTGAAATAAACAAAACCTTTGCCACAGGCTGGCTGCTGTTTGTGGAGCAGTCATTCTGAGTGTGGAGGGTGGGGGAGGTATGGATGGCCTTGTGAGAAGGACACGTTCATGGCTCCATTAAAAAACTATTATCAAACACTTCAGCTATTTTGTGAGTCACACGGCACTACAGTATGGGCGTTTTTAACAGGACATCCATCATTTACATATGAAATCATAGTGATAGTGTCCAAGTGTCCACTGCTTAATCCTTCTCTTTGTGGTTTGATAAACCCAAGCCAAAGCAAACTAAAAGGTCTGAAATCTAAAATATTCTGAGTAATTACAGATGAAACATTGTGTTTCAGAGAAGCATGGAAAGTAGCTGTCACCTGAAGCCCCTTTTGTTTGACATCTCTCAAATAAAAAGTGCTTACTGTTTTAGAACCACACATCAAATCATAAAAGCAAGATTTAGAGATAAGACCATCAAACAGTAGTACAAACTGGTTAGAGGCTTCATATCAGCATGTTAAACATGAGCTGTCAAGGACTGTGGCACAAAAATGCCATTACACACCATAACAAGGTCCACAACCTTGAACTTTCCCAAGATTTAGCTATACCTAAAAAAGGCCTGTTAACACGTAACAGAGTCAACCGAGCAAATCAAAATACGGTGCACTGAATTCAATCATACATCGCTGAAGAGTTTATGCTTGATTATGTTGGCACTGGAATTGTACATTTTATGATTTCAATAACATTAAATGTTTTTCTGTAATGTTCTTTTCTAAACTGGATAAAATAAAAATTGCATTAAGAGGATCATTAAATATTTTTTTTAATTTGTTTTTTTGTATAAAACATGGAAACCCAACAGGGTTATTTAGTGCAAGTAAAACTAGTAAAAACTATTGTATTCCTTAAAATAAAGAGGGGGGAAAAGAAATATAAATATTTAGATGAAAGACTAATACTAAACAAAAAATGGAAATGTTGCCTTGCGTGACAACTAAAAATAAGTTCAAGTTACTAAATGGAAATACAAATAAAATAAATAAATTAAAAATAAAACTGAACTAAAACCTATACTAAAAAATAAATTAAGCTCAAATAGTAATATTAAATAAATAAATAAAACTAATAAAAATGTCAAAAGCACAAAACAAATTACTAAAAATTTTACTAAAATTAAAACTGGAAATTGGAAAAATATAACATTAAAAGCTAATTCAAAATATTAATAAAAAACGTGTATAATAATAAAATACCTCAGCCCATCAACGGAGATCACACTTTAAAAAAAAATATGTATACTTATTTTTTTAAATAATAATATAATTGTTTTTTTAAGAATATATGATTATTAATTGTTTTTTTTTTTATTCTTATATTTAGTTCATATTTAACTGGACCAATTGTAAAGTGGATTTCTCCCCCTTTTTTCTTTTTCTTTCTTTTCTTTTTATGTAAGACTGTTCAGTTTTCTGTGACAAAGTGTTTGTGTGCGACATTTTAATGTCATGCCCCAATAAAGAGAATTTTTGTTGGCCAAGTAGTTGACTAATCTTTGGGTGGTCAGGCTAATTTGTTGTACACTGTAAAATGCAGCTGTGAACATAAGAATAGCGATAATGTGAGGGATGTTTACTCACACATGACAGAAACCAGGAGAGTTCTGTCAGCTCCAATAAAAGACAAAGTGAGCCAATTTAAGCATTCCAGCATAAACATGCATCTATTCTCTCTGAGAAAGAACATGTCGTGAGTCAGAAGTCTCGGTTACGTCTGCTTGGATTTCATTTGTTCCACACTCAACTCATTAATAGTGTAAGCTGCTATTTAAACAGAAGAGCAGCTGCTACTGTAATTGAATGTATGTGCCAAAGAAAATCAATTATGCATGTTATCTATGCTATATTAAAACTCTACTATGTCAGCAATATTTGTATCATGTATAAATGTTTAAGTAAAAGATCAAATGAAAGATTTTTTTTATTCTCCTCCAAATAAACATTTAAAGAGACATCAGTTACAGTGATGCAATGGTAAAGTGCACATTTCAAACAATCATCTTGACATCCATGTAAGCAATGAAATGTCTTTTTCAACAGGTATTGTGCAAAAAAAGAAGAAGAAAAAAAATCAGGCTCATTGTGGATTTTTTTTTATGATATCCATATTCACTTTTAAGTACCTAAATGATTAATTTCTACATATTCAACCAAATATAAACTCCATCCACATTTTTCCACCTACACATATGTAAACAATAAACTTAACTATGAGATATCAATGGTGGACATACTGCATTTTTCAAATGCATTCCACTAAATACACATCCCTTTTCAGACCAATATTAACTTTCATGATAAAACAATATTTTCTGAGATGTGTTAAAGTCAGCAAAGAGGTTTGTGGAGGCTGCACAACTGCATGCAAGAAAAGCCATGGAGGCATAGAAAATATTTCGGACTCTTTAACCTGTTTATGCACTATACACCTGCTTTCTTTGCATAGCTGACAACAATCAAAACATAAAATCATAAAATAAAGAACTGGTGCATATTCTGCTGTCAGCCTTATAGTAAGTAGTATGGTAGACAGAAAAAGACAAAATTATGACTTAAAAAATTGAGTCCAATTTATTCTGGCATGGTCTGTTTTACTGTAAGGCTTTTCAACGCATTGTTCTGTTTGTTTGTTCTTTGTTGCTAGACTCAATAACAGTGTCCTCAAAAGTATTTGGACACTTGTGCCACTCTTAAAAGTGTATGAATGTCATTGCATATAGGCACAAAATATCAAATCAAGTGGAATTTATTTTTTAGAGATGTTTAGGAATCTAGCAGAAGCACATTTTTGAATAGTTAGGAATATTTGCAGTTTTGAAAAAAGGTCTAGAAACATTTGTTAGCAGATGCCACATGGTTTGATATTTATTAATGCAGTGATATTCAACCAATATGGGGCAGTTGTGGCCTAATGGTTAGAGAGTCGGACTTGCAACTCAAAGGTGGTGGGTTCGAGTCTCGGTACCGGCAGGGATTGTAGGTGGGGGAGTGAATGACCAGTGCTCTCTTCCACCTTCAATACCACGACTGAGGTGAGACCCTTAAGCAATAACCCCCAACTGCTCCCTGGGTGCCACAGCAAAAATGGTGCCCTCTGGTCTGGGTGTGTGCACCCTTGCTGTGGATGGGTTAAATGCAGAGCACAAATTCAGAGTATTGGGCACCATGCTTGGTCACGTCACATCACAATTTTAAAGACCTTTGGGACCACTGTAAAATTTTTATTGTTTTAGAAAGTCTCTTATTATCACCAAGGCTGCATTCATTTGATAAAAAATACAGTAAAAACAATTATATTGCAAAAACAAAACAAAAAACAATTTAAAGTAAAGTAAGTTTTCTATTTTATATATATTTTTAAAACGTAATTTATTCCTATGATGGCAAAGCTGAATTTGAACTCCATTACTCCACTTTTCAGTGTCACATAATCCTTCAGAAATCCTTCTAATATTCTGATGGTGAATAAGAAAAACATTCTTTAATAAATAGAAATTTTGTAATAAATAGAAAGTTTAAAAGAACAGCATTTAATAAAACAGAAATCTTTTGTAGCATTATAAATGTCATTACTGTCACTTTTGACCTATTTAATGCATCCTTGCTGAATAAAATCATTAACTTCTTTAGAAATATTGTACTGACTCTGAACTTTTAAACAGGCAGTGTAGACTTCAGTTGAAACTTCCTTCATTATGTCTGCCTACAGCTGTCAAATTAACTATTCACAGATCATTCTCGTGTGACTGTTCCAGCTTCTACAGCAGGGTAAAATCATAAAGGAAGCCATCCAAAATATTTCTTCACAACTCAAATATACTGTTGTGTCAAATGTCAGGTGGAATGTTGTAGTCCCAGGCTGGCTTACTTAAATAAATACTGCTACACCTCAGCGCTCAGTCTTGGGTGTTTGATGACCAAAATGTCATTGATACTCATTCTGATATTCCCCATTTTCATAATGATTTGATCCATGATCTTCATCTGCTTGCATGGTCACCCCTCTCTTCTTCTTCCAGCCTTGCTTGCGACCTGCAGAGCTTTCTGTGGTTCCATAGGTCTTCTGCTTGGAGGTCAGGGCACTGTCGCAGTTGGGCTCGGTCTCATCAGCCAGCTCGTCTTCCCCGATGATGCAACATTTCTCGTCGCTGGTGTTCTCAGGATCAGCCCAGTCCTGCTTCTCACCAGAGGCAAAGATGGCATAGAAGATCACGCCAGTGTAATGCACCATGGAAGCAATCACAAAGACATGCTGCCACTCCAGTCGAGTCTGTGGAGGACATAGAAAAGTAATGAGGATATGCAATATATATTTGTGTAAATCAAAAACGCACATTTAATTTGCTTATTTTTCATTCGTGGGTTAATTTAAGTGTCTTGTCCCAAAGCAAAAAAGGTGAGGGTGAACTTGTTAAGCTTTATAGTTTATGAATCACCACTTCTGGGGTTTGAAACTACAACCTTCTGGTTACTTTCCTATTTTTTTAATAATAACTTCACTGAACTGAACATACATAATTGAACATAGGCAGCTGTTACTTTAACGAGATATTTCGACTTGAACTTACCCATAAAAATATTTTTGCTGGTGTAACCTTTTTTTTTTTTTTAACATTATTCAATTTACTAAAATCAGATCATTTTTGGTTATCTGTGAAAACATTTTTACAGTTTATCACTATAGATCAGTGGTTCTCAACTTTTTTTTTGACTCAAAGAACTCTCATTGTTCAAAACAATATTCAAAGGCTCCATGATATAGACTATTTCCAGCATTTCTGTCATAAATTATGACAAAGCTGCTTGTTTTTTAGCAGAAAGTAGGAGTATTGATAAATTACATTAAATAACCACAAATAACTTTTGTAATTTTGGATTTTTCAAGATCTTCAATTAAAAACAACAGTTATTGAGTAGGGAAAAAACATATTATTTTGATTATATTATCTTTATATTATTATATTTATACAGTATATTGTGTTTTATAAAAAATACTATTATCTTATAATATTTTAATTTACATCTTTTAGCATTTTTGAGTTTGATTATTTCAATATATATATATATAATATATAATAATTATTTATTATAATATATAGATGAATCACCACTTCTGGGGTTTGAATCTACAACCTTCTGGTTACTTTCCTATTTTTTTAATAATAACTTCACTGAACTGAACATACATAATTGAACATAGGCAGCTGTTACTTTAAAGAGATATTTCGACTTGAACTTACCCATAAAAATATTTTTGCTGGTGTAACCTTTTTTTTTTTTAACATTATTCAATTTACTAAAATCAGATCATTTTTGGTTATCTGTGAAAACATTTTTACAGTTTATCACTATAGATCAGTGGTTCTCAACTTTTTCTCTCATTGTTCAAAACAATATTCAAAGGCTCCATGATATAGACTATTTCCAGCATTTCTGTCATAAATTATGACAAAGCTGCTTGTTTTTTAGCAGAAAGTAGGAGTATTGATAAATTACATTAAATAACCACAAATAACTTTTGTAATTTTGGATTTTTCAAGATCTTCAATTAAAAACAACAGTTATTGAGTAGGGAAAAAACATATTATTTTGATTATATTATCTTTATATTATTATATTTATACAGTATATTGTGTTTTATAAAAAATACTATTATCTTATAATATTTTAATTTACATCTTTTAGCATTTTTGAGTTTGATTATTTCAATATATATATATATAATATATAATAATTATTTATTATAATATATAGTAATATATAATACATAATAATTTATTATTTTAAATAGTCTTTAGTCATCTTGAGGCCCCCTTAGAAGTGTGCTGAGGCTCCCTAGTTGAGCACCACTGCTATAGATATTCATGTCATATATTTGAATATTCAGGAACATTTACACACTAAAACATTCCCCTTATCTAATATAAGGAAAATGACTTCATCATGAAAGAAGGAAGCTATCTGCGTGGGATATCTTAGATTAAAGAAAAAATCCTTGTGCATATAGTATTATGTTTTTCTATGCACAAGAATAAGGTGATGAAGTTAAATACCTTGTGTATGGTAAGTGCTCCAACAATGAGGGGGCAAACCATGCCAGACAGGGTACCTACTCCATTAGAGATGCCCATAAGAATACTGGCATAGCGAGGAGCTATGTCCAGATGGTTTACATTGAATCCTGTGTCGCAGAAATACAGAAATACATTTCACATATTTAGATCTTTTCCCGTGTCATTTTAAAAACTAATATTCCAGGTTGTATCATCATGTACTTTCCACTTCGTTCTTTTACTACAACTGAGCAACTCATATTATTGAAGCTGGAGAGGTGGCATAAGTACAAAGAAAATGGTTAAAATCAAACAAAGACAAATGGCAGAGGAATATGTTGACTGACACTCTGATGACTGAAAGCTGTCTCATGTGTCACCTGATATCGCAAATCCACTGAAGCCCACTGCCAGAATGAGGAATGTGATGGCCACTGCACGCGTGTGTGAGAACCCAACCACCAGCAGCAGCGTGGCCTCCATGCCAAAACCTGTGGACGACGAGATAAGTTAAATCAGTCATCAGCCATCTTGTTCAAAAACAACTTTTAAAACTTTAACAAATGCTTCTCGAATGCAATGTTTTGTGTAAACTGTTCCGTTTATTATTTTTTTACTTGTTAGCCTAATGTGTGTGTTTTCGATACCTTCACCTATCCTAATTTAATACGCATATGCCTAAACTGATGGCTGAACTCTCAACCAATGTCATGAGCTTGGGACTTTGCATACCTCCACAGTTCATGATTTTGCGCACGTTTGTAGTAGAGAGGATTTTCCGACTCCTCAGAAAGTCAGCCAGCTGGCCTCCTATTGGCACAATGATCGTCATTACCATGTGAGGCACCGCTGACAAAATGCCCACCTGAAACAGCCCGACATCATGTAGTTAGCCTATTTCTAGATTATCTCGATTTCTCTTGTACTGAAAAGGATTGGTAGTTAAACTCGAAATAACATCACAGCCCACCTTGCTGATTGGGAACCCAAAGACCTCTTCAAAGTAAGCTGGCTGACTAATGAGCAGGAGGTAAAAGGTCCAGCTACGGCAGAAGTTTGCCACAATAATGGCATAGACAGGCATAGATGTAAAGAATTCACGCCAAGGAGTTTTAAATTTCTACAAAGAGAAAAAATAAGTTTTCACAAAGTAGTTTAGGATATTACATGACCATCTTAACATTAAATTGAATATATATATAAAAAAATTGTTTATTGTACCAAATGCATGAAAGAAGAATTTGGACTACCTCAGTAGCGCTCATTAAATTGGCTCCTTCCCCAATAGAGGTCTCAATGTATGCCCTTTCTTCCTCACTGATGGTGGGATGGATTGCTGGACTGTTATAAGCCAGCAGAAGCCAGAAAATATACCATATTATGCCAAACACACCTGTATATGAGTACAGAACCACACATCACTGATCATTTTAACGTCTTTGGTTGCATCTTTGAAATGTCACTTTACAGTGTCCAATAAATGCAGTATATTTACTCATAAATTTACCAAATTGTCATCTTTTTGCCATCTATTCACAGTATGTCTTGGTATCACCCTGTATTCACACACACACACACACATATATATATATATATATATATATATATATATATATATATATGTTCTTTATTGGCATCTATGGTACCATGGTAACATCCATCAAACCTTTCCAGTGGACAAAAAGTTCTTTAGATTATTAAAATGTTTCAAACGTACTGTTCACTGCAAAGTTCTTTAGGGAACCCTAAATGGTAGTGATTCACTTGGATTTAATATAAATGTAAATTATTCTTATTGATTAAAGTCTGGCAAACGTTTCATAAAGTGCAAATCAGTTAATAAACATCCTCACTCAGATTTACAGTCTCATTTTTGGTGTATAAATCATTCTTTACCAATACACTTCAAAGGCCTATCCTAAACTCACCATATATATAGAAGACAGAGGGCCAGCCTACATACTGCACTAATATTCCAGCCAGTGGCATGGCTATCACAGCTCCTGCATAAGATCCTGTCAACCAGAACACACACACACAACACACACACACAGGTGTAATTAAGAAAGTTAAATTAAGAGGGAGGGCATTAATCAAACTGCAATATTCCCTTCGGCAGTTCAATCATTTGAAGCCATTGTGGGGGTTGCCTCATAGCTGCCAGTGAAAAACTGGCATGATTGGTTTGGTTCAGCTTTGAGAGAGCATAATTAGTTTTGTTCATTTTAATGTAGTAACATACATTAACCTTCAGATTCTCATATATTTGGGGGACTTTTTAAGGAATGCTTTATCCAAAAATGAAGATTCTGACATTTACTCAAGTTGTCAAGCTATTAAGACTTTTTAGCAGTAAATACCAATGCCAGGATTCAAGCCCTTCATCAAACTTGCAGAGTAACAAAGTAATCTGCTCAGTTACATGTGCAACTACTTCAGACCCCAGCGCAACATGTGCCTCTGCCTGAAAGACAGGCTGGCAGCTGCAGGAAATGGGATTTTAATGAAAAGGTGTCTTAATGTATATTTTATTACTCGATGCACTTGTAAACCTTCCTGTTTGGCGTAGGCAAGGAGTGAGGTTTTGAACATAGAAGAGGGTGCTGCTTCATTTGTGTCAACAGAAGAAAGCCTCCTTCACATACAGAAGGTGAAGCTGTGTGCAGACCATCTTCATTTAGTGGTCATGTCAAGAGCTGTTTGAAGCACAGGTTGTCATGGCACCTGTTTGTTGTGAAAGATGGCTGTTTTAATGCATTTGAGGGGTAATGAGAATTGGAATATAAACCCACAGACGGCTGGTCAACTGGACTGTGAGAATGATTTTGGAGAATCTATGTCTTGAGTGTTTACTTCTACTGCAGACACAGGTACAGACACATTTGTATATAGAAGCATTAAATTTAGTATTTAAAGGAAAAGCAGAGAGTGATGAACATTAAGACAGTAAAACAGAAAACATTTTGGCATTTTTCAGTCACATTTTCTACAGGTTACATTGTTACGTCCGTTTTTATGAGTGAGTCCCTGAATCATTCATTCAAATGATTCATTAAAAACACTGATTCATTCGATAAATAAACAAGTGAACGAGCTGAATTCAGAACTGCACACTACTCTTACTATTCCTGCTATAGAAATATATAGTTAAATGGTAAGAGCTAGTATGCGGTTGCGAATTCAGCAAGAGACTCTACGTGAATAACTCACTGAATCATTCATTCAAACGATTTGCTCCAACACTGATTCATTCATACTCATAGACGTAAAGGTTGCTTCTGCTTCAGATTTAATTTGAAGCTATTTTTGCTGGTAATGATAAATATATTGGTAAAGTAAATATATTAAGTGTTTGTTTTTTTTGTAATGTCTGTTACATTATGTCTCCTGACCCGTTCAATCAAATATTCTGTCACAAACCTACTCACCACAGAACGAGGTAGTAGCCAGACGGCTTCTTTCCAAAGGAGGAGCCCATTTGCTCCACATTCCATGGCAGGCTGGATATGTGACTCCCTGAGAACGTCATGCATGGTTAGTATCTTAGTATCTATGCTTTCTTTCTTTCTTTTTAATCAAAATGGGTAATTCTATAATGGCCGATTAATACTTAAATGAATAGTTCACCCATATAATGACGTCATGAATAATGAATCATGACTTAAATTTCAGCCTGTCCTCACTCAAAAGCTGTTGTATGGCTTTAAATGACTTAGTATGCAGTATATAGTTCACAACTACTTTTATGGTGCTTTTAGTAATTTTTGGAGGTTAAATATCAGCATTCACTTGGAAATGAAGACAGTGTAAACATTCTATTATCCTTTTGCGTTCCAGAAAAGAAGAAAGTCATGGGCTCATGCGTATGAGTAAATATTGACAGAATTGTCAACAGATTACTGCTTTAAATACACTGATCAATAGCATACCATTTAAAATATATATGTAAAATATTTGAAGATAAGGTTACTGGTGGCCACTCACCTCCACCAGTCCTTGTTATATGTAAAATATAAAGTTATGTCACAAAAAGTAAATATTTTATGACGTGTTTGAAGATAAGGTTACTGGTGGCCACTCACCTCCACCAGTCCTTGTAAAATTCGCACAAACATAACACAGCCATAGTGGACCCTGGCAGCTGATGGAATAAACATGTTTAGCACTGACGTCAAGAAAATGGCTGCTCCGAAAACCCTGAGAAACAGTTCAGAGACATTCAGTAATGTTAGTTAATTCTGGTATCATGGATTCAATTAAAGTGAAGCAATATAAAAACAATGTGGCCTTAAATAACTTAGATTTACATAATTAAGGTTTTGTGGAAAAGCATACACAGTCAGGATAGCTAATTCCATGATGTTATTTTAATAACTGAATTGAATAACTCTTAACATCAGTCCTGGAATTCTGACATTAGTCATAAAATATTTCTGTTTCTCCGTCATATAAAGTGATGAGTTAGACAATTTTTTGTAAGTTGAAAAAGACTGTAACAAGGACTAAAAAAACATGATGTAACAGCCTTTAATATCACAAGACAAAATCAAAATGCCTTAGAATTGCACTGAATAGTTTGAAGCACAAGTGCAACATCTTTTTCAATGACTATTAGATGTTAAAAAGATGAATAGACTAATATTCATAAAATAGTATTCATAAAATAGAACTATCTAGACAATAACAAAAATGTCAAAACACACAACAGAATTACTAAAACTTTAACAAAAATTACAATGAAAACAGAAAATACAAAAAAACAAATAAAAAAATATGAATAAAAGTTAAAATAGTATCTCGATTATACTAAAATAACACTGTTCTAATGGTACAGCTTTTATTTAGCATTTACAGTGGCATGAGTTCAAATCCTGATCTGTCATATATGCATATGCAAATTTGATTGGATATTCAACTTGATTGGACTGATCAAAATATGACATTTTTACCTTCAATATTTTTGCAAACTAATTATCAAAGTAATTATTATTTTTTTTCATTCAAAATCCACTTTCCTGAAAAACCCCATCAGTTTGAATAGGCATAACGCTAGCTAGTGCAGCGACATCACCGGATCACACGGAAGAGAGTCATTTTGGTTCATTCAGTTGTCCTTTATCTCCATTTAATCCATCAATCTGCTTCCTTTTTTCCCCAAAACAGTGTGTAAGTGACACTTGTAATATTCCAGTGGCTGGTGTTTCAGCGAGAGATCTGCTGCTGGATCTTTCATTATTAATTCTGTCAGCCACGTGTCCTCTTTTCCTGTGAGGCTTTTATTACAAGACTGCTATCGGCCCCTCTAATCAACACGAGGCACAAATTAAACCTTCGCAGCCCTGACCACTGCACTCGTCTGGCCCTTGGGTCTTCAAACACCTTTCAACAGTGAATGCGATATGAGAGCTATATTATGGAACATACGTCTGCCTTCCAAACGTGGCATGGAGGCCCGTGCGTCAAGATGAGGCTCACCTGTTAGCTGCTAGCTTATTGGAGATGAAACCTCCAGGGATTTGAGTGACAATGTAGCCCCAGAAAAAAGAGCCGTGTATCAATCCCACTGTCTCTGGATCCCAATTAAACTGAGCTGGCTAAAGGAGACAAAAATTAGAGGAGACCACGTTAGCTTTATATAATTTATAAAAGAAAAAAATATTACAAAAAAACTTTTGTAGACACATTTCTGTGCATAATATAAATGAATTATCACAAGACATACATACTGTAGTTAAATGACCTTGTGAATATGTGTGTGTGTGAGTTGTGTTTTTCTCCTAATATGACTCTTATGACAGGAAATTACAGGAAATTTTGGCCAACTACCAAAAATGTCACTGATGAGAATTCAAGTCAGAAGAAAAGAAGATAATCGGCTCTTTGAACTTGAAAGCTGAAGAAGTCAAACAGACTATCTAGACCAGGTTTTTAAAAAAACTTTTTCATGCCAAGGACACCTGAAAATGATTTGCTAGGGACCCACTCTGTAAAAAAAATATTAAAGCTGTATAATTTCATGTATAAAGACCCATTTACTGTGTGGGGAAAATATTAAGCGTGATCAAATTAAGCAAAAAAAAAAAAATCTATCTGTCTGTCTATCCATCTATCTGGTTTATGGTTAGATAGACTATATATAAATAAAAATAGACTATAAAATAGACTATACATAAGTTTTTCCACAAAACTATATGTGTATTTTTGTTATATATTACTGATTTGTCAATAGAAAAATGTAATAAAAGAATAATTTAAATAATTTTATAAATAGAATAATTTCTAAATCTATTGTATGTTGTAAAATAAAATATAATGTATACATTTGCATATATACAGTCTTAAAGGGATAGTTCACCCAAAAATTTAAATTTTGGCATCATTTACTCACCCTCATGACTACCATTGACTTCCATTCTTTGTATTTTTTTTTTCATACTATGGAAGTCAATGGCTACCAGCAACAGTTTGGTTACCAACATTCTTCAAAATATCTTTTGTGTGTGTGTGTGTGTGTGTGTTCAACAGAAGAAAGAAATTCACACAGGTTTGGGACAACATGAGGGTGAGTAAATGATGCCAACATTTTCACTTTTGGGTAGACTATCCCTTTACCTTTCGTATTTTGAAAACCCCTTTTTCTAACTTAAAATGAGATGTGTATGAGAATGGTAATTTGGTATTTTCAGTTTATATGTTCCTAGTTTCACCTGCATGACGGCAGTCCCATTGATGTAGACAGTGTTGTTGTTAACCATTTCTACAATGGCTACCCCAAGGTTGCAGCGGATGCCAAATGAGATGCAAAAGCCAAGCCCGCTGAGGACGGCAATGATGTAACGTTTGGGGAGGCCAAAGCAGCCACAATCGAAAATAGGTGGGCTGCGATTAGGGGCCGCCACTGGACGACCATCTTCTGTCAGCTCAATGTTGTCCTCTTCAGCCACATTAGAGCCATCGATCTTCCTACCATAGGATAAGAAATGCTTTAGAAATGGCTTGCGGTGGACAAAAAGAAAAAAAAATAATTATATAACTCCATAACTGATGTATAAACCACAACAGGACCTCTTTCTGGATTGCAAATGTAGCTTTAGCTGATCTAGATTCAACTCGGTGCCGTTTGAAAGTGATATACCCATATTTATGAGTGATGTACTGGGTGGACTCAGTTGGAAGGGGCCAGAAAGGGTTGCCAGAGTGTGGCGTTGAAAAGGTCACATTGCGT